TTAGACTTTTGTTTTTGAGGTATAACTGTGTTATTTCAGGAGCAACTGCTCTTCATAATCGGCGCTGTTACAAGTACGCTCCCAAGCAGCCTTCCTTTTTGTTGTCAAATTGAATAAAACCTATGAAAGGCAGCAACCAAGGGGGGCAGCATGATACATCAACTTTTTAAAAACAAGCTTTCTCCTTTTAAAATGGAATTTTATTCCAGTTTTGGCCTTCTGGGCTGTTTTGTTCACAGCATGAGCAATTGCACCATATTAGGGCACATCTTTCCTCCTGGCCGCTCGAAATGAATAACTAGAGCTAAGTTCATAAAGTTTGATTCTGACTCTGCACGTCAGAAAAGGTTGGATTCCCTTTAAAGACACATTTGACTGCAGAGCGTTTGTTGACCCTCTTTGATATCCTCCACGGACTGCATGACTGAGCTCAGCACAAGCTCCCCGTCACCAGCCTGGGGAAGCAGGCTGCGCTTTGGCGCGCGCCGGCAGTTTGTTCTCGAGTCTGCTTTGCCACCTAGTGGCCGGCTGTGGCATTCCTTTCACCTGACCAAGATCGCTTTGGGAAGTCATTTTAGCTGTTGAACACTGTAATGAATTACAACAGAAAAGAGAGACACTCTTGGCAGAGAAGGCAGTCAAAGAGAGACCCCAAACAAGCCTTGAAAAATGGTGCATACTGGATTCCGAATATTGAGGAGGCACTAGATAATTAGTCTTAGAAGAAAGCGTAGTTGCGAATTGAAAGAATATTTTTACATTTTTCCCCGGTCTTTCATAATTAAAATGTTAATAATAATAAGGTAGAATTAATTTATACTTCTATAAAAAAATAATTATCACATTTTCAGTTCAGGAGGTTTAAAAATTGAGAGCCCCAATGGTTTTTTCAGAATAGGTACTGCCAGGACAGCTTAAAGGGAATAAAATGAGTTTGTCTCCCTGGACTTGGTCATAAAAACAATGCCTCACATTTCTATTGGCCGTTTAGGTTTCTCTAAGCACTTTCACATGTGTTTCCATATTGGATATTTACACACTTTTGTAAATTTAAAAAATTACCTATATATTTTAAGGAGTAAATTCATGGAGGGCAGAATCCTGTCTTACTGAATTCAGTGGCACCAGTCATAATGACTTAAAGCTAGTAGTGGTTCAATGAGAAGTGTTGATGTTAATGATGACAGTTATGTTAACCCGGACCCTTTGGTTGCAGGTGACAGTAGGTAGCCCAGGCAACAAAGGAAATGGTTGGCTCACATAACTGGCAAGGTCAAGGAGGCAGAGTTGACTTCAGGAGGGGCTAGATCCAGGCTTGAGAAGACATCATGATCATGCCATCTCTATTCCCCACATTCACTCCCATCTCTCTCCTTCCCATGTTTTTCCTCTATGTTTGCTTGCTTCTCAGATTTTCCATGTAGATATAAATAGGGTCACCAGTACCTAGGAATCCCAAAGAACAAAGAATTACCCCCCTCTCTTTCCAGCATCCATATCAATTCCCAAAATTTACTCTTACTGCTCCTGTCTGCGTGTTCTTCAGACCCATTGCTAAGATAGAGGAATCAGGACCATGTCATTGATACCCATCCAGAAGTACATACTGTGGATGACAGGCCATTTCCAAAAGAATGGATGAAGGAAAGACAAATAACAGACATCACTGCATAGTGTTGACAAGAAGAAAAAAAGATGAAAGAAGACAGATGTTTCATCAGCACAAATATAAAGCACTGGGATTATTGGCCATTATATTTATTTATAATAAAATCAGCACAACATCAGTGATGAAAATAAGTCTACCGAACAGGAACAATTCCATCGGATATGAGAGCAGAGACTTAGAAAGTGTTTCAAAACTTTTTAAAGGTGCTGTAGAATATTATGTGAGATTCAGAACGCCCCCAGGGGCTGGGGTGGGGCGGGGGAGTAGGAGGAAGGTAAAATGGGATGCAATACAAACCAAACAGTGGACAAGGAAACTCAGCTCCTGTGTCTGGGAAGCTTTGGAGTGGAGGATGTTGGGAAGATAAAGGCTATTCAGAAAGTATATAAAAAATTAGCCAGGATCTGGTGCAGGGAAAAGAGAAATTCATGAATTAGGGTGACAATGTAAAGAAGAGAAAGGTAATCCTCATCTGAGCCTATGCAGTGGAGGACATTGGAGAGGCGTCCTAGACTCCCCAGGAGAACAGTGGTTGTTAACCTCAGAGACAGGACATTGAGCTGAGGTGTCTGACCAAAGGCAAGTCTGTCCTCATCCTTCTACATAGTTGCAGGTGCAATGGGGAAGATGGGCAAACACCCTTAGAACTATTGGAAACTGGGAACGAGGTGGAGGAGCAGAGGGCAGACAGATCTTCTTTATATGTATCTTGGAAGAAACCATAAATGCTATTGCATACCCCAAACAAACAGCATGTAACACTTCCCAAATATGGACATCCCCTCAGTGAGAGGGAGCGGGAGATAAGGATGAGTTGACATCAACTAATAAAACCCAGAGAAGTAAAAATAAGTAAAGAAGGAAAAAAACATCATTTACCTGTAATTGGAAATTAGTGCAATGTAGGAGATTTCATCTATGGGCAGACAGTGATGGATTGTACAGGAGTTCTTAAAACTATTTTTTTCTCCGTAATAGAATATATGTTAGAATATTTAGACTATGTCCAATTTTTTTACTATTTCAAATAGTGCTTAAGTGAATATATGTAAGTGTATATATGTATGTAAGTGTATGTAAAAGTTCACGTGTGTGCTTGTGTATGTCCAACCATGTGTGTTTTTATGTATGTTTTGTGTTTTTTCTCATACACAAAAAATATACATACTACACATGCACACTGTCAGACAGTTCTGAGATCTTGGGTTTTGAGCATTTTTATTTTGACAGATACTGCCAAATTACCTTTCAAATTGTTGGTCAATTTACACTGCAACTAAAACCATGAAACTGATTATTTCCCTCACACTGTTGTCAGTGCTACATGTATCATCATTTATGTTTTGCCCATCTTTTGGGTGACAAATGGTATCTCATTAATTTTTAAATGCACATCAATTCCACTTTAAAGCAGCGTACAATGAGTTTTAACCAGTTAGGAGGGGCTAGTTGTATACAACACCTGGATGAGCTAGTGGAAAGGCAATGTAACATCACAGTTAAAAATGGAGGTGGTAGGCTCAGATGATCTGGGGGTGAATCTCTGCCTCCCTCCACCCGCAAGCATTAGCTTGAGTCCTTGGACAAATTACTTAGCTCTCTGTGGCTATTTCCTGTAAAATGTGGTTATTGTAAGGATTAAATGAGATAATGCATATGTTGATTTGCACAATGTGTACCACATAAGAAGTGTCCAACAAATATTCTCTTCTGTCATTTATTATTGCGCTAGATTGAGCTCTGAGCCTCATGGGAGCCAAAGCAAAGTGAGTTCATTGTTCAATAAAAATAATAACAGCAGACACTATACTTATGTAGCACATACTATGTGTGAGGCTCTGGTCTAAGTACTTTACATATATTAAAACATTTTGATGAGAAATAAAGTTACTTTGGCCACTTACTGTTGAATTCTAGGTTGAATTTGTCAACAATTTATTCTGTTATACACAACGTTTCATTCCCATTTTTCAATGAGGAGACTGGGACTCGAAGAAGTTAAATATGCCCAAGATCGCAGTCCCAGGGAGTGATTTGAACCTACGCCACTGGAAGAGCAAAGTCTTCCCACTCCACTGTAAGGCCTTTCCAAAAGGCTCTGTGTGATCTGACTGCACTCCTTTGAGATGCTCTGACATGCAGTGTCTAAAGCCTTGATTTAAGACTCTTGCCGTGTGCGTGTGTATACACATTTGTATGTAAGTGTTTACAGTTGAACACTTTTTTAACCAAGAGCCTAAGCACAACAGAAGTTTTCTCGGTAGATAAATGTTGAATTCATAGAATGACACACTTTGAGGAATGAATTACTGAATAAAGTCCACAGCAGTTGGTGATGTGAGAATTCCTAGGCCGGTTGTGTCCTAGAAGTACAATCCTGGAGATTCCAAGAGGACGGAGCAGTTCTCAACCAAGGCTTCCCATGACAGCATGGGGGTCTTCTTGGTGATACGTTCATTGTAATGATTCTTAGTTATTTATATATTTCGGTAGCAAGTGTTTGAAATAACTACTTGCAAAAAAAGAACTATTTGCAGTTTTGCAACTATTTATATGCAAATGTGTGTGTGTGGTGCTCAGGTACTTTTTGACCGTTGAACTTAAGATATCTAAATACTAGAAGTATTCAAAACTGGTTTGTTCAGTTCAGAACATTCTGGTAAAGACTGTCTATATTCTCAAGCATAACATAGCTGCTTTGTGTACTGCTGCCAACCATTACAAGGAACCAATACATTATGTTTTCTATCTGTGTTTTAAAGAGGCAACATAATGTGGAGTGATTTTCGTTCATTTCCCCCTTGCTCCAGGTTGATGTTGCTCAGTCCAGTGAGGCTTAAATGGCTGATAGCCCCTTAAAGTTTCTTATGTCCAAAGCCAGGGATAAGTAAATGCCCAGGTGGATAAAATGCAAATGATACCAATAAGATTAGCGCATTAAGTAGCGTGATGATAAAACTCTGCTGGGTAAGTATTATACAAGCACCTAATAGTTTTCCCCTTCTCTTTGGAATAAAAGAAGTAAGGGAGATTTTGTTTGATAACAGCATCATGTGGAAGTATGTGTGGTATATATTCAGAAATGTGGGAGGAAAAGCACAATGTTCAATGGAGGCCACTAGCTAATTGCGCTGCCTCAAACAAATCAATTTCTGCCTGCGCTAGACTCCTCGCCTTTAAAATTAGAGAACGAACTTGATGTTTGTGGCCTCTCTGAGATTCAGCATCCTATAATAGGTCCTCTGGGTCTTTTAAAGTGTGCAATGCAAAGAACAAATCAAGTGAAGGCAGAAATTTTCCTAACTCCCTCTTTTCTCTCTTTTCTCCCCAGACTATGTCAAAGAGTCACAATGACCTTGCACAATAACAATACAACCTCGCCTCTGTTTCCAAACATCAGCGCTTCCTGGATACACGGCCCCTCAGATGCAGGGCTGCCCCCAGGAACGGTCACTCATTTTGGCAGCTACAACATTTCTCGAGCAGCTGGGAATTTCTCCTCTCCAAATGGCACCACCAGTGACCCCCTGGGAGGTCATACCATCTGGCAAGTGGTCTTTATTGCATTCTTAACGGGCGTGCTGGCCCTGGTGACTATCATCGGTAACATCTTAGTGATAGTGGCATTTAAGGTCAACAAGCAGCTGAAGACAGTCAACAACTACTTCCTCTTAAGCCTTGCCTGTGCAGATCTGATTATTGGGGTCATTTCGATGAATCTGTTTACTACCTACATCATCATGAATCGATGGGCTCTGGGAAACTTGGCCTGTGACCTCTGGCTTTCCATTGACTATGTGGCTAGCAATGCTTCAGTCATGAATCTTCTAGTCATTAGCTTCGACAGGTACTTTTCCATCACGAGGCCGCTCACATACCGAGCCAAACGAACAACAAAAAGAGCTGGTGTGATGATAGGTCTGGCTTGGGTCATCTCCTTCATCCTTTGGGCTCCTGCCATCTTGTTCTGGCAGTACTTTGTTGGGAAGAGAACTGTGCCCCCAGGGGAGTGTTTCATTCAGTTCCTCAGTGAGCCCACCATCACCTTTGGCACGGCCATCGCTGCCTTTTATATGCCTGTCACCATTATGACTATTTTATACTGGAGGATCTATAAGGAAACTGAAAAACGTACCAAAGAGCTTGCTGGGCTACAAGCCTCTGGGACAGAAGCAGAGGCAGAAAACTTTGTCCACCCCACAGGCAGTTCTCGAAGCTGCAGCAGCTATGAGCTTCAACAGCAAAGCATGAAGCGCTCATCCAGGAGGAAGTATGGCCGCTGCCACTTCTGGTTCACAACCAAGAGTTGGAAGCCCAGTGCTGAGCAGATGGACCAAGACCACAGCAGCAGTGACAGCTGGAATAACAATGACGCTGCTGCCTCCCTGGAAAACTCCGCCTCCTCTGATGAGGAGGACATTGGCTCAGAGACAAGAGCCATCTACTCTATTGTGCTCAAGCTTCCAGGTCACAGTACCATCCTCAATTCCACCAAATTACCCTCATCAGACAACCTGCAGGTGACTGACGAGGAGCTGGGGACAGTGGACTTGGAGAGGAAAGCCAGCAAGCTGCAGGCTCAGAAGAGCATGGACGATGGAGGCAGTTTTCAAAAAAGCTTCTCCAAGCTTCCCATCCAGTTAGAGTCAGCCGTAGACACAGCCAAGACCTCTGAGGTCAACTCCTCAGTGGGTAAGACCACGGCCACTCTACCTCTGTCCTTCAAGGAGGCCACTCTGGCCAAGAGATTTGCTCTGAAGACCAGAAGTCAGATCACTAAGCGGAAACGGATGTCCCTCGTCAAGGAGAAGAAAGCAGCGCAGACTCTCAGCGCCATCTTGCTTGCCTTCATCATTACCTGGACACCCTACAATATTATGGTTCTGGTGAACACCTTTTGTGACAGCTGCATACCCAAAACCTATTGGAATCTGGGCTACTGGCTGTGCTACATCAACAGCACCGTGAACCCTGTGTGCTATGCCCTGTGCAACAAAACATTCAGAACCACATTCAAGATGCTGCTGCTGTGCCAGTGTGACAAAAGGAAGAGGCGCAAGCAGCAGTACCAGCAAAGACAGTCAGTCATCTTTCACAAGCGTGTGCCTGAGCAGGCCTTGTAGAAGGAGGTTTTATCAAAAGTGACCAAACGCACACATCAACCCACAAACCTTAGAAGGGAGTAAGGTGAGGGTGGGGGTGATTTCTGGTGATGATGAAAATGTTTTTATCACCCAGATATGAAAGAAGCTGCCTGTTTACTGATCCATTGAATAAACTCATTTTAATTAAAAAAGTCAAATACCAATTCAGCAAAAAAAAAAAAAAAAGCATATTACTGAATATAAAGGAATTTATTCTGAAATAGACCTTAAGTGTTTTTTCTTAAAGAGGAAAAAAATTGTTTCATAGCAATTATATACCCAAACTGATCTGCTTGGTTCTTTTAATTCCCGTTGCCTCTGGAATCGCAGATGAGCATAACTAGCTGGCCCCGTTGCCACGTTCTTTCCAAGGATCCCAAAAATGTAGATCCAGACCCCACGTGGAACACATCAGGCTAGTGCATCTGTGGTTTTGAAATTATTTCACACGTTGCAAAGCTGAACCTTCTTGTCCCAATAGAGCTTCCCGTCTTTTCTTCGGTGTGTTGTTAAACTCTATTTGTGGACTTGATTCTTGATTCTTGCAAAGTACTGTTTTGTGCAGTTCAAGTTTCGTACAAATAAAAATATATAAATATATATATATGTGTGAGTTTTGCACACATACACGTAGTGTATATAATATAACGGGAATCACTGAACTGGCAAATTATTCCTGCAATATATGCTTTCAGTACTTTGGTGACTGAAGTTCTCTAGGATCCTAACACAACATAAAAGTGAAATAAACCCAGTGCAGTGTTTTGGAAACCAGGGCTGTTTTCCACAAACCGCCCTGGGGAATATGCAGCAGAGAGCAGCCAGGCCCTCCCAGCAGGTCTCTGCAGAGCTGACATCCTCTGGAGTCGGGTTGAGCACCATGGCTTGACCAAACTGTGAGCGAGCTAGCTCCTTTGTTGATATCCTCAACAGAGCTAAGTCAAATCGGGGCCCCTCTGAGCTCAAAGAATGAATCACCTCCACCTGTTTGAATTTAATCGTCCCAATCTGAATGTTTCCAAACAAAATTTCTGCTAAGCTGCTTGAAACAAAACAATAGTGTCACATTTGAATGTCATACACAGCAATATATATAGCAAAGCAAAAGAGACATTGTGAGGCGGGATGAAGGAGAACATGGTATTCGATTTCTTGCTACTTGGCACCTTCTGAATGAAAAAGGCCAACACCTTTGTTCCCTAGCTGTGGCCAGTGCTTGCTGGTGTTCACTGTGCAACCTTCACCCAGTACTAGGTGGGGTTTAGGAAGTCACAAGTCCTCTGAAGAGAGAACGGCACTTTGAAAAGTATTACTTCAAATCAATTTCCTTACATTTCAAAAAAATGATTTTGTATTCTCCTCTGAATTGACCAAAATGCTAACAGTTCTATTGCGGGGGAGGGGGTACTGCTGTTGCTGTCATCTCTGTTTCTGCTGTAATCGTTGGGGTTCCTTCTTTTCCTTTTGCTGGGGCTGTGTGGGGAGGGGGGAGGGAGGCGGGGGGCGGAGGAGAAATCTCACCTTTGTACAGGACCTCTGTGTTGTGAACCCAAGGCCGGGGTAGAAGCTGCTTTTGTATTCAGTGTGAGGTGGTGTTTACAGGTGACTGTGACAACAGTGGAAGCGTACTCAGTGGCATCTGTGTTTCTGAACTATTTAATTTTGTGTTATGTTTATATGAAGAAATATTTATGCATACTTCACCAAGTGTCTATTTAATGTTGATAAATATTACTCTTCAGTCTTCAGCCATGGTGTCCTTTGAAAGTGATTCTTTAAGGTCCACTTGAGAAATGAGTAGAGTATATTGAGCTTTCCTGTGGCTAAGAAGAGGAAAAAGGTCACCCTGTTGGCTTCAGCAAGTACCTAATTCTTTCTGGGTAATAAAAAGTCAACTGTAACTTCAACATAATGTTTAAAACCATTCTTTAGTTCAATCTGATGGAAACTGAACAAAGCAACCCTCCACCATTGTGTTTGAAATCACATGAGAAGGGGAAAAAAGCAAATCAGCATAATTGAAAGAATGATTATTTTTTGTCCCACATTCAACCAAAGAATAAGAAAAACCAGAGACTATTTTCTAATATGTATAGCAAACTACAGAATGTTGTGTTATCCACCTGTGAAACGTCTAGTGAGCAATTGCATCTATATTTTATTACTCAAGTTGGCCTGGCACTAATAAATGTGTGAATGCTGATTCAAGTCTCCCAGTACTTCAGTAATTCCCATTCTTTCTGAAACTCATATCTTGCCTCCCTCTCAAAGGGCTGTTTCCTGTATTAAAAAAACAAAACTAAATTTAAGAAATGGAGAAACCCTGAGCTTTGGCAGAACTGCAAAGGTTAATAACAATTCATCTTAAATGTGATTATCTCCTGATCTTTGTCCTTTTATGATGCTGATAATAGCAGAAAAGAAACAAATCCTAGACTCTAGCTTTCCTTTTCTGTTACTGGTTTAATTATAGAATTGTTTTTAAATCTCTTATGGCTGAAAGCTGCTTTTAAATACTGTTTACTGGCTGTGTTTATAGAAAGGTATGTCCAACTGTTAGGTCGTTTTCAGAGAAGAAAAATAAGAAAAATCGATTCTTTTGAATATGGAGAATTGAGAAGTTTAATCAAAGATGTAGTGAGTGTTTATAGCTGGACATAGCTACACATGCATTTCTCAAAGGGCTTGTCATTAGAGAAGGTATTCAATATTTATATAAGATCAAAATGGCTTCATCCCCAAACTGGGAATCAAACTATTTCATTCCACATAAATCAGGTTTGCAGAACTTTCACGATTATCCACTTTAATTAAAAGAACAAAATAGTCAAACCTAAAATAGACCGCAAATCAAGAACTCCCCCCAGTACACACGTAAACACACAAGCAAATCCACTCTCGTATTCTCTGTTCTCCAGGCTTCACCAGATGCGTAGAAGTGAACTATCTGGTCCCCTGTTTCCCTTGACTCTGCTCTCTCCTGCTCTTCACCTGCCTGTGGTCTCTCTACTAGTTCTCCATCTTGTCCTGAACCATCCTTGCCTTAAATCCAGCCTTGGATCTCTAAATATGTTCCATCCTCTTCACTCACATATAATAGTTCTAGACCCTAACAGAAAGAAAACAAACAAGAAAGCATAAGCATTAGAAGCTGCAGTGGCTAAAGATCTGAAAGGCATCACAGCTCTGTCAGCTCCCCTGAGTTGCACTTGGGCAAGTTCATTGCTCTGGGGAGAGATGAGAACCCTTTGTGCATCAATGGTGAGAAACAGAAGGGTGCAGTCTGATGCAAAGCTGGCTGCCTCAGGTCTGTCCTAGGAGGGAAGAAGGATGTCAGGGTTCACGCAGAGCGGGGGAACCTGGTGTAGATTACATGAGACAGAGGAGGAGCCCAGGGACCATCTGGCTCTCCTGAACTAACCTGAGTAGAGATGATTCCCAGATGAGGACATATTACTGAGAAATTGGACAGTTTATCCCTAGCAGCTCCAGAGGACAAGCAAAGGTTTCACAAAGAAGCCTGAACTTAGCCCTGAGCTCTGAGTTCTTGACCCAGTTGTGTTACCATGTGGTTACATGCATTACTCTGCCATGCACGTCACTTACCCTTAACTCTCTGGGTTCTCTCCTTATACTCAAACTCGTCAACACAAAAGCATGTTAATTTGTCTTCTGACAGAAAACAAGTCAAAATTAAGTCACAGTGTTAGGTAAATAACCACAATGATGAATGTAAAATGGTGTATCTGATGAACACTTAAAAATTTCTGATTTTATATATCCATCAGAGTTATTTACTTATATTTCAATACAACAAAATCTAAGGAGCTCTTGGGGTTTGCTGGTAAACCTGGAATTGTAGTGTTGCAAATACCACTCTAGTCCAGGACCGTCACCTGAGCCTTGACAACCTTACAAATAGAGTTGCTGGGTTTGGGGTTTTGTTTGGCTTTGCAACAGTATTTCTCATAATGGGACTGAAACTGTATAGATTACAACACCCAAAACAGTTCCCCTTTCTTCAACCCAACAACCCTACTTCTACCACTCCTCTAGAAGAGTATTTTTCTCAGATGTAATGCGCAACAAACCTGGTTCAGCAGTGTAAAATCCAGCCCATAATAGGTTCAAGGACAATTTCACTACTTTCCTTTATAGACTTAAGTCATGCTCCCTCTCCTTGTGTTTTCATGACTTTTTCTTGTAGGAATTCAGCCTCTACCAGGATCAATGCTGTGTAAGTAAATATTCCAGACCTCAGAGATAGATTACGGAGACAGTAAGCGGGGGCTCTTTAGAATTGGAGAATTTCATTTTCTTTTTCTAGGTTTAGTGTTACTGCCTGAGAAAGTAGGCTTATGTTGAGATAATAAAAATGAATAACAAAGGTCAAGTTCATAAAGTGACTATACTCAACACATAAGTTTGGAACTGCACAACATTTGACTGCCAGGCTCCAAAATGGCCATGTGTTAGTATTGGTGTTAATTGAACAAACATTGCATTCACAGCTTCACACACACAGATAGACAGTGCACTTGGACACATGGAAATGGACACCCAAAAGCTTTAGTATGACATTGGGCTTGTGGTTACTCTAGTAGAACCACAGGGACTCAGCGGAGTTCTGATCCGAGCCCTCTGGCCTGGGCTGGGACCACCCCAAATAATCACCGAGGTCCAAGCCGGTCCTCATCTGAGTTGCACAAGACATTCTGGATGAAAGGGAAAGGGGGCCACACCCTCCATTACAGAGAAGTATTAGTAACATTTTCCTCGCCCAAGTTAGAATCCAGTAACCCTGTCTTAAACTAAAAAGATTATCCCCAGAATAAAAAAGTTTATTACAGTTCTTTCTTGAAATCCAAAATACTTAACAATTCTGCAATTTAAAAACCAACCCCAAACTATTTTTGTCCTGTATTCTGTGAGTTACTTGATGATAGAAAGTGGGTCTTATTCGTCTCTCTGTATCCTGTGGCTGGCATATTGTCTGTCAAAGAGTAGGCATTCAATAAATGTTGAATGTTTAATAAACTCCTTATTAATTAATATAACAAATATTTATTAGAATTGGTGCACATAAATGCCCTATGCTGCTACTGTAGGCAGGGGTCATTGAGCTGGGAAAGTGACTTAAAGGAAAAATGGTTCATTAATATGATAATAATCTAATAAAGTATGACTAAGCAACAAGGAGAAATATTTTAAATAGATTGAAGTCTCCAATATAATTAAGAGGACAGAAAGGGGGAAAAAAATCAACTCTCCCTTTTATCCCTAGAACTCAGAAACTCTTTACCAGATTGGTCAACTCTATATGGTCCTCCCTGATTGTTCTAGTACGAAAGCGTGGGGAGAACCTGGAGAGTCTATACCTGTAAGCTTTCCCTTTGTACAAGTGAAGATCTGTAGTCTGGCTTAAAACGTCCTTGCTTGTAGTTTTGCTTGGCATGGAAGTTAGGAGAGAATCCATTCTGTCCTGCATGCAGTTAAACAAAAGCCCTTTCTTACAGTCATTCCTCATCCAGTACACAGGCATTTTCAGCTTCCTACATACAAGATTCCAGAGAAACTTCTTTAGGGCTTGTGCTCAGAGCTATGTGAAGGCAACATTTTGAGCAACACCCTTCTTTTTTTTACACATGGGAACCGTCTCTAAGTTTGGTGCAGGTTTGGGAGAGAAGTAAGTTAAAATGGGCTTCCAAGTCGGTGAATCAGCACATTGATTTCTCTTGGCAGGAAAACATTCAGTGACCCTCACATCCTTCTAATTCATGAAGATGTAGAGAGAAACCACTGTCCAAAAAGAGAAGGCTATATATTTGCTTTGTAAGCAAAAGGCATGTATCACAGTTGCATCTAAAATAGTGTCCCCATCTTTATCAAAGGCACTGAATTTTCTCTGTTTCTGTTATCTTGTGGCCAGCACATCCTCAGTAGTCATTTTAGGTATTTCACATGCCATTTTTATTCTTTCTCCTGAAAATAAGTCAATTGTCTGTACTGTAAAATAATGCCTGCAACTCTGTGGTGATATTATCCCCCAAGTTTAACAGTGAAAAAAGGAAATAAAACTATTAATAAACAAAGAATGTGGTTTGCTCTCTTTTTAATCCAAGGTCTATAACATAGTAGCTGCTTTTGACTGTGCAAAAGGATAGAGTACATTGAAGGCTTAATTCCAAAACAGACTACTCTTGGCATTGACTTCTCTTTCTTTTCTACACACACTGGAACTTTCCTCAACAACTGACATTGCTACTGTCATGACTTGAAACACTTATAATCGTGTGTTTAGGAGTACATAATAGGCATGTATAAAGTATATCTACACACATAGTTCTTATTCCAAGAGTGTATGTGAAGAAAAATGTTTATCTCTAGATACATAATGAAAGGGAGTTTTATTTTCCTCTTTTTAAAAGAAATGCTTATCTTTTCCCCCACTCTTTTAGAGTTATTTG